GGGGGGGGAAATTATTGAGCAAAAAAAAAAAAGTCACCTGCCCCTTTAAGGGCAGCCATTTTGAACTCTGTTGTTCTCCGCGGCACACCTCTGACTGCCTCGTGCTGCGGAAACACCTCTCTAAACATACTTATAGGATGGGATACTTCAGCAAGAAAGGCATTCATCTTCCCCTAGTTCATGGATCACTTTGGAGGTTAGGTGGTAGATAAACATACAGATGCCTAGAGGGAACAACAGTGCACATGCCTGGAGACAGAAATGTAAGCAAAAACAAAGCTAGGCAGTTGTATGGATTGCAGTGAAACTTCGTGTTTTGTGGATTGAAGTGAAGCCTAAAACTGGGACTTAGGTGCATAAGCCCCTCTGCTCAAATCTACAAAAGGTTCTTGCATTCGCTGTGGCACTAAGTTGAAATAAGTTACCTCACATATATACTGTCAGTTCCTGAATATACTGTGTTTAAAATGTACTTAAAATATTCCATTAGTGTGTTACAGAATATTTTAAAATCACATCTCTAAAAAATCATCACTTCCCAGGTGCCCTTGGGCATGGGGGTGCCAGTTCAATAGTACTGCATAGGGCCCCATAAATCCTAAGGATGGGCCAGGGTCTGAGGATCTTTTCAGATACTGAAGTGAAATGTAGTGGTGTTATTCAGCAGGCAATTGTACGTAAGCTATAGTACCCAGCACAGGGTTCTTTTGCAAGCTTGGGCACAAAACACACTGTGCATCTTTGAGCTAAAAATAAGTAACAAAGCAACACAGAAATTGAAATAAAGACACAAATGTAAAAAAGGGAAATAAAACATCGGGTGATTGGTGATGGATATTTTAAATTAATGTTTAAGGTCACCATGGAAGTGAAACAGAGACCTATAAACACAGATAAAAGTTATCCTTGTCTGAAACTTTCACACTGTGTGTATCGCTAACTGAAAGAGTAGAAGCTCCAGAGCAGCACTTTAACAAATGACTTCAGAGTTTGTAGACAGATCCAGTTTTAGAGAGCTTGCAAATATAGTCTTCATCCTACAACACAGCTAATATCACAGGGTATGTCTACACTACCCCGCTGTACGAGGCGTACAGATAGTTCGGAATAGCTTGTTAGTCCGAACTATCTAGCCCATGCCGCGTGTAGCCGCGCGGCACGGGGTTCGAACAAGCCGGCATTTAAAAATGGCGCCGGCCGGCTTATGCAAATAAAGCCCGGGAAATTCAAATCCCGGGCTTCATTTGCACGTTCGGTATGCATACATTACCCTGCTAGTTCGCACTAGCGGGGTAGTGTAGACATACCCTGAAACCCTCAGTCCCTCAGTTTCCCAATTGTGTTATATAAATAATTATGCTTCCCTCTCGCCCCCCTTTACAAAGTGCTTTGAAGTATTATTTCAGTATATTTTATTACTAGAAGATTTACCCAATGTTACTCAGGTCCTTAATTAATTTTTGGGTTTTGGACAATAAAATGAACATGTACATGCATCATTTAAATCATTGCTGTGGGGTGGAGCTAGGGATTACAGGTTCAGTATGCAGGGTGCCCCCAGGGACAGAGGACAGCCCCAATCCTCTCTCACTGCAACTGTGTGGGGCCAGGTGAGAAGCACCTCTCCATGGTCACTGCAGTTCCAGTGGCACAGCCAGGGGAGGGGTGCATGTCCTCTGGCTGGGGCAGGTCCAGGTTCATATGCCTCCTGCATTCTCCAGTCACAGTGAGGAATGCAGCAAACTGTGCACCTTTCTCTTACTCCCTGACAAAGGAGTGGGGAGTTTTCCACCACCAGGGGTGGGAGGTTCAGGGCAAGGGCAATCTTGGATAGGGGGGTGCCCAAGCCAGCCTCTTTGACCTGCCTGGTGATTCTTTCTCTTGTTTGTATAGTTCTCTGAGAAGCAATCCCATTTTCCTGGCCCCACCAAACCCCTTACGCTGCTTTGTTATAAAAGAAAGCTGTATACTAAATCTGGAGATCCTAGCTCTTACCATGTCTTAGGAGGAGTTCTTGAACAAACACACAAAATCTCTCAAATATACAGTAGAGAATCATATAAAGTGCTACAGAGTTATTTAAGCACTTATCTTGCATTGAGTGGATCGTAGGGCAGAATCCCACTGAAATCAATACGGTGCAGGGATCAATAGACAGCACAGGTAGAGGGATTTTCCCAGGCACATCCCAGCAGATTCAAAAGTCATAATTTATAGAAATAGCTGCTTTTTAAAAACAAATTGGAAAATAGATAAAAAATGCAGCTCACACCAAATGTGTGTTTGAACCTGCAGACAGGTGCACTGAGACTCTGCTCCAGGATTAAAGGTGCACTTTATTTCCACAGTATGGCAAGACACTGTATGATAACTACAAACGTGCAGTACAAAGGGTCAGCTTGGCCTCTCAATGGGCAAACCTTGTGACTGTGGAACCAGCTGTCACTGCAGGATCATTCTTGACAGGTAAGCAAAAAAACTTCAAAAACGGGCTATAAGGTAAAACTGAGCTAGAATCCATATGCAAATTTGACACCATCAGAATGGGTCTGAATAGGGACTTGGAATGGCTCACTTATTAGCATAAGTAATTTTCCACTTTAGGTATTCTCACCTTCTTATCCACATCCACCCTGATTGAATTAGCTCTGCTGTAGCATTCCCATCTCTATCTCTATTACCTGTTTCTTTTTCTTTCACTTCATGTATCTGATGAAGTGAGCTGCAACTCATGACTGCTTATGCCATAATAAAATTGTTAGTCTTTAAGGTGCCACCGGATTCTTTGTTGTTTTTGCTGAAAAGTTCAGGTTCTGGGGAACAACAAAGGGACTGAGTTCCAAGAACTAACTCTGTGTCCACTGCTCCATTTGAGAGGCTCCATTTGAGAGGCCGGAGGGATGGAGGATTGGCTCGAATTTGAGTCTATGATGGTGAGCACACTGAAGACAATAGAACAATGACCGACTTCCGTGTTTTTTCACACAAATTCAGGAATCCATGCTAGCATATGCACCTCTATGATTTTGACCACTAACAAGAATACAGGCATAGGTTGTACGTGATCACACAAAACACTGCATGCCTCTCACAGCAGATGACTAGCTTTCTTTTAGTCTACACAGTGAGCTTTAGTATATGTGGGTTGGAGAAGCTTTGATCATTTTAAATTCTGACTTCAGTGGGAGACGTGTACTCAGGGATTTTAAATATTTACATGGATGTGTGTGCAAATTATATACACAGCCAGACACACACAATGGAACACAATAAAAAACAAATTACCTTCAGATTATTTTCATACATTATAACATCAAATATAGAATAGAAGCAGAACGATAAACCTGTACTTCCACTGCCTATTAATCTGAAATTATTGCTCATATTGAATGGTCATATACCTTTGAAAGATCATATTAACTGTTATCTCTGTAGACTCATCTATTGAGGGTTAGCATTCTAGAACAGGCAGGTTACTGGGACTATATGTACACTGGTTATATCTATCACAGTAGTCGAACATAGAATGTGTAAAGCAATCACACACTAGCCCAAAACAAAAATACAGAGTATTATATCTGACCAGAACTTGTCCTCCCCTCCCTATTTTATCATATGGAATGTCTAACAATAGCAGCTGCTGGCTGGCATTATAAAATGGGTCTGGGCATTTTTTTCAAACTGCCATACACAATATTGGCTGGAATAAATAGCAGCAATCTGCAGTCCTGCACTAACATGAGAGAGAGTTTTGTTTAATCAGCCTCAATAATAACTGAAGCATTGCTCAGATGGCAGGTGGAGCTTCCTGTTCTCCCATCTCATCTCTAGTATAAATGGTGATTGGAATGTTGTGGCCAACATTTATTGCAACTGCAAACACCCAAATAGTAGAGTCTGTGTTTCTTTAAGGGTCCTTTGTGCCAAAGTAATCTCATCTCTGTCTTGCTACATTAATCTCCATATGTTGGCACACACGATGTATAGCTGTGCCAGCACAACATCAGGGTTTTCAAAAGACCAAGGCGGCTGCTTTTCCCTAGATATAACTGTGCAAAGGACCTATTGCTATTATATTTTGGACAAAGTTTCCGTTTAGCTATTCCCTATTTTCTGGATTGTATCACTTTGCCAGACAGTGATCTGTGGAGCGGGTCAGCTTACAGCACTCCATCTTTATCCACCATCATCCCTTCTAGGTTTAGCAGAACTCAAGATTAAAACATTTTTTACCAGAATGACCCACAAGCACCCACAAATTGTTCTTCGGTGCCATTCATAGGCCATGAAGGGAAAACGTCCCCCAGCTAAGCAGCTGCATTATGGATCCCTTCTGGTCTGCCAACCTCTTTGCAGAGTGCTTGCACTCACTGGCTTGTGCTTACTGGCCTACATACTTGATTGTTTCCACTATGGAAGTTCCTTGTAAAATTGCTAAAAAATATTATGCCCATAATTAGTATATGACTTTGCATTAAGTAGATTTATTTCAAGGACAACATGAAAAGCAGAGACCACAGGCCAAGTTCTACCCTGACTTGCATCACGTGAAGGGCTGACTTATCCACTAGGCACAGGAGGCACAGTACCTAGGGCCCACGATACTTTTAGGGGCCCATGAAATTGTTTTAATTTCTTTTAAAATCAGAAGGAAAAAAATGAACTTTTAGGGTCGAAGAAAATGTTTTAATTTTTTTCTCGCATCAGAAAAAAAATGAAACTTTTAGGGCCCACGAAAATCTATTAAATTTTGCCTAAAACAGAAAAAAAATAAAATGTTGAAGTATTTAAAGTTATATCAAAAATAATTTTTAATATTGATATTTCAGGGCTCGCCGAAACGTGGCAAGCCCCGCTCGCCAGCTGAGCTGTCTGGCGATCTGCGCATGCACAGATCATTCTGCACATGTGCAGATTGCCCAAACCCGGCTCTTCCGGGTTGCAATCTACTCTCCACGGGTGAGTCGATTGCATTATTTGTCGAGCCCTGGATAGTATTATGATGGGAGGGGTCCACGAAGGCAAAAGTGCCTAGGGCCCACGAAAGTCATAAAGCTGCCCTGATCACATGTAGGACTTGTGAAATCATTGACACAGCAGAGTATGATTGCTTCTCTAGTTGTTAAAGTTGTGAGATCTGTGTATCCTCTAATCATGTCATTTATTGTTAATACTTGGAACGTTGCACATCATATTCATAGCCCCTATTTGCTACATGGACATGTGCAGTGATTTTATTTGCATATGCCAGGACTAAAAACACCTGCTGTGCTCAGACATGTTTTGCAGGATATTAAGTACTCATTAAAACCCCTAATCCAAGAAGAACTTGAACACAAGCAATCTCATCGACTAGTCCTGTGGTTAAAGTGACATACATTTAACTGCTTTGCTGGACGAGGCTTTACATTTGTTGTTAGATAAATTATGGCCAGCTAGTTACATGGTTTGTTAGGAAAGAATTCAAAGTTCAATGCTTTCTGATGCAGAAATGACTATCCTGAAATATCATGTAGACACTTCAGAATATTTAGGACCTTCAGTGGGAGCACTTCTGAGAATCAGGTCCTTTTTCCCAGTCAGTTTTCTGTGCCTTTCATTGTTAGAGAGACTGCTGTTGAATTTTAATGTACATGTTTCTGCAGCAACAGTGTCTATTTCTTTTCCAAACCTATCAAATGGCTATAAACTGGCTGGTAACAAGTTTAGGCTTGAAATTAGTCAAAGGTTTCTAACCATCAGAGGAATGAAGTTCTGGAATAGGCTTCTAAGAGGAGTGGTGGGGGAGCAAAAAACCTAACTGACATTAAGACTCAGTTTGATAAGTTTATGGAGGGGATAGCAGGATGGGACTGTCTACAATGGCAAGTAGTCAGTCTGTGACTGCTAGCAGGAAATATCTCCCAAGAGCCAGAGATGGGGCACTAAATAGGAAGAGCTCTGAGATACTACAAAGAATTCTTTCCCAAATGTCTAGCTGGTAAGTCTTGTCCACATACTCAGGGTCTGATTGCTATATTTGGGGTCAGGAAGGAATTCCTCCTGGGTCAGATTAGCAGAGAACCTGGGGGTATTTCACCTTCCTTGCTGCATGCAGGTTTAAATTTGTGTAAATGGTGGATTTTCTGTAACTTGAAGTCTTTAAGTTATGACTTGGGGACTTCAGTAAATCAGTCAGAGGTTGTCTGTCTACTACAGGAAAGGGTGGATGAAGTTGTATGCCCTGCAGTATGCAGCAGGTCAGACTAGATCAGGGGTCAGCAACCTTTCTAAAGAGGCCTGTCAAGATTTAACCCTCCTTCCCTGGGCCATGCCAATCTCCCAGAAGGCACTCACTCTGCCATGTGCCCCGCTTCGTTTCTTGCCCTGGGCTTTGCTCTGGCTTTTCCTGTGAGGAACAGCATGCATGTGCTTCCCCAAAAGCCAGATGTGGTGCAGAGTAAAAGCTCGGGCCTTCCCCCCACCACAGGAAGCTGATGCTGGCTCCAATCTTGTGGTGGGACACAATGCTGGATCACTAGCATGGGCTAGGGTCGGGGTGGCTGAGGGGGAAGGGTCAGGGAAATGGGCGAAGAGAAGGTGGGTGGATGTGTGGATGAACCCAGTGTGTCCAGCCGTGATGGGGGCAGAGTCCATGGCAACCTCACCTTCCTGCCAGGAATCCAGATGCCCAGGAGCCAATGCAGCTTTGGGGCAGGAGGATCCCCTCTGCATTTTCCTCTTCCCTCAACCACCCCCGCCACCGCCCAGACCTGAAGCCGCAGCCCAGGCAGCACTCACCTGCGCCTCAGAGCAAGCTTCCCTCCTTCCCACAGCTGTCACACCCCAGCCCAGATCCAGCCTGCCCCAGGCAGCCAGCTCGGGGGCGCCCTACTCTTCCATGTGGCACAGCTGCCTCTGGAGCTGTCCTGGCTCCCGCTTCTGCCACCACCCAGGCAGCCCCACTCTGCCCTGTGGCCCAGCTACTCTCAGAGCAGCCCAGCTCTGCCCCATGGCCCGGCCACCCCTGAAGCAGCTGCCGGCCATGCAGCCCTGCCAGCCAGGCTGCTTGGCTGCTGTGGAGCAGGAACCTGGGCTATGGCAAAGCTGCCTCAGCAGGGACAGCCCAGCCGTGGCACGCGGGGCAGGAACTGGGGCCATGGGGAGGCTGCCCTAGCAGAGACAGCTTCACAGCAACCCGGCTCCAGCTGCCGCATGCGGGGGAGCCACCGGCCATGCAGCCCTACCGGATGGGTCGCATGCCACTCGTAATCAGCTCACGTGCCATACATTGCCATCCCCTGGGCTAGATGATCGTCATTCCTCCTAGCTTTAAAGCAGGGCTGAGAAACCTAAGGACCAGGGGTCCAATCCAGCCCCCAGCTTGCATGGATCCAGCCCCTAAGGCTTAGGGCTGCCCCCAGCACTGGGGAGCCTGCGCTGGCACTTCAGCTCTCCCCACAATCTCCCACAGGGCTGCAACACAAACAATCTACAAGCATGGGGGCCCCCCCCAGGATCAGGTGTGTGAGGAGAAAGTGGGGAGTGTCTTTCTCCTTCTCAGTCAGGGGCCATGTTAATGAGGATTTGTTTTTTGGGTGCAGGTTTAGGGAGGGAGAGTTGCACTTCTCACTTGTGTGTGGCCCCTTTCTGGGGGGTTTTCTGAGCGCCAACCGATAAAGGTTCCCCATCTCTGCTTTAGAGGTCATCACCTTGGATAGACTGAATTTCACAGGAACGCCTATCAATTTGTAACCATGCAAGAGCAAAAGTTTCAGAGGGGTAGCCGAGTTAGTCTGTACAGGATAAACTTAAAAAACAACAAATAGTCTAGCACTTTAAAGACTAACAAAACATGTAGATGGTATCATGAGCTTCGTGGGCTGTGCCCACGAAAGCTCATGATACCATCTACATGTTTTGTTAGTCTCTAAAGTGCTACCATGCAAGAGCAGTGACTGATGATTCTCATGATATAAGCACAGGATATGGAAATTGCAGATCATATCTTACTTAACTGAAAACGTAATCCACAGAGCTCTGAAAAGCCTTTCTTCTATCTTCACTGGGTCTCAGCATAGTAACTACACTATCATAAGACTTCAAATCCAACATCCTTATCCATATAGGATGGTTATACTTTTGTTTCTAAACTTAAACAGGCTCCATTTTAAAAATCCAGCAAAAAATAGAGTGTTGTACAGTTAAATTCTCAAACTAAACACTTCTAAAAGCCGTAGCAAAATGTTACACTGTAATTAAGAATGTAACCATTGACAGGTCAGCAAATACCATCTTTCACTCTGCCTACTTGCCTCAATCACTGTTTAACCTGAAGTCCAAAGACAAAACCTCCTTCCCTTGCTCTATGTCATCCTAACTCAGCCCCCTTCCAGCAGTGAGATACAGAGACCTTCACACCTCCATCACCTTTTGATATACAGATAATTCTACTCTGGTAATCTTTGTGTAACACTGGCAGATGTCAGTCCTCTGCAGGAAGTCTCAAACCTGGGCCCTCTGGAACTCAGTGGATGAGCCTCTAGAGCAGGCTCAATATTCTCTCTGTAAGTGGTCTCTGTGTCACTAGACGGGACAGTATACCACACCCAGAAGGTGTGTGGGTTATATTTGCAATATTGTTGCCTTTAGAACTTAAAGGGTAAAATTTGCAATTAGGGTAAAATTGCAATTAAGGGTAAAATTTGTATGGTCATTGATTTAACTATATGATTTCACTTGTTTGTTTTTCATACTGAGGCAATCAGAATTGAATAAAAAGTAGAAAACTAGCAATATTTTAACCCTGCATGGCCCTTTTTGATGCAGTGAAATCCATGATAGATTAACTGTCTGACAATTGTAGCTTTTTGTACCATGTTGGAAAATGAGGCTTTTGTTAATGCTTACTCTTCTTTGCTTGAGTTCTGGTGAATTCTGCCTATCTAATACACCTGTGTTTTTCCTTCCTCTCTTTGGTACATAATAGGTACTGCTCAAACAAATGGACAGATTCCCCAGAACACACCCTCTGCCAGGTTGGAGACCCAGAAACACACTGAGATGACAAAGGTACAAACCAGAGGTTTCTCTCGGGGCACTATAGCTAAATTTTGCCTCATTTTCTGTTTTCTCAAAGCACTGGAGCATTAAGAGGTGGTGTATTGGTTTTGCCATTTGGGGAGGTAGATGGCTGACTCCTTCCCGGGTTTCAGCTAACTCTTTCAGAGCCAGGATAGGGAACACAGCCCATTACATTTACTAACCTCTTAGCACTTTAAATTGGTGGAGCTCAAAGTATTTTATGAAGGAGGTCAGTATTGCTATCCCCATTTTAAAAAACCCCGCTTTTTGACTGACCACAGGGGTTGTCAGGCACTCCCTACTAAAAGGGCTGAACATACTGTGTCTGCTCATAGTTTCTACCTGACTGGGACCGGATTGAAGAACCAAACTCAAGTCTTGACTTCATACCACAGTAGCTCATTGCTGTACAACAGAGCATGGAGCTGATTACCATCCATCTCCCAATTAATACATTTCATTTGTGTTGATCTCTGTACAGCAGGGACTGAGAGGGTACATCTACACTACAGGACAAAGTCAAGTTAAGATATACAACTTCAGTTTCAGTTAATTGCATAGCAGAAATCTAAGTACCTTAACTTGGCTTTTGGTGCTGCCTATACTGCAGGAAGTCGAAGGGAGCGCACTCTTCCTTCGACTTCCCTTACTTTTCATGAAAGCAGGACTACCAGCATCAACTGGAGTGCCCCCCTCAGTTCGAATTAGCTGTCTTACCTAGATCCACTAATTCGAACCCTGGAAGACCCACAGCGGCAGCTTCGATCTTCTTCTATAGTGTATCCTACCAAGAATGTATACTGGGCTGGGTGTTCATCCTAGGAAATGTTTACAAAGATTTACAATAATAGATTTAAAAGCACTTTCTGCTTAGCTAGGACATCTATACAGTAAATGTTAACAGCTAGCCCCTGCCACTTCAAAAACAAAAATGGAGAGTACATTTAGAATTTAGCAAAGGGGCTAAATTCTTAGCATGTGACCCAGCAATCCTATTTTGAATGAATGTTCACCTAATATTCTGCTAAAGCAAACACAGCCCTAATGAACTGCTAACCTACATTATATTTGTCTTAATGGGTGATGGATACTTTGCCTTTTTCCTGCTAAAAGTGATCAAAGCCATTGTATAAGTGTGACTAGAGCAGGGGTGGGCAATAATTTTTTGCCATGGGCCACTTCAAAAATGTTTTGAAGTGGCCCTGGGCAGCACTGGAAGGGACGGGGCCAGGATGCTTCCAGACATCAGGGCTTGGGGGTGGAGGAGCACGCGAAGACTCCTCCTTCCCTACCAGGAGCATGTGGCACTTCAAAGCACCGCATGTTCCTGGCAGGGCTGAGGAAACTTTGTGCGCTTCCCCCCTGCCCCTAGACACTAATTGACCTGGGGGTGAGGGAGTGGCAGGGCCTCCGTGGGCCAGATAAACCTCCTTGGCAGGCCGGATCCAGCCCACAGAGGACCTTTTGCCTATCCCTGGACTAGAGCTTAATGAATTGTGTGGGGGGGGGGGGCGGGTTGCCCCATTTTTGTTATTAGAAAAAGTGGAAGAAAGATATGTTGCTCACAAATGCAGAATAATGTACAGGGGCAGACTGTCCTTAGCCCTAGTTTTAATGCAGGAGGGGAAAAATTAGTCTCCTCCTTGTGCATACTCATAGGAATGGAAGTGCTCCTTTTGCCCCACAGCCCTCCCACACTTCCCATCAGCTTGCAAAGCTGGCCAATCACACAACATGCAGCACAGTGCAGCATTCCAATATGTGTACTCCCTGGACTCTAAGGTGTGTCTACTCTACACCCGCAGTTTAAAATAAGCTACGCAATTTGAACTACACAAATTGCGTAGCTTATTTTCAGTGTATTTCAAAATAGCTTATTTTGAAATTTTGCACTGTCTACACAACACCAAATTTTGAAATAGAGTCCTAGTCTGAAACGTCCCTTATTCTCATGGAATGAGGTTTACTGGGAGGTAGGAATAGCATAATCATTATTTCGAAAGCTATTAGGGTGCTCTGTCAAGACATGGAAAATGGTATTTCGGGATACTGGAAGTATCCTGAAACAGTGCCACTGTCCAGACTTCTTCTAAGAGGGATTGTGACTCCAGAGTTACAGTGCACCTTGGCAAAGCTCTCCCAGGCATAGGATGGTTTGGGGCAGGCCCTGCACTTTGGAGAACCCTACAGCAGCCATCTCAACCATCCTATGGACTGGTCCCAGGGGCAGCAGACGTCGCTCCCCACTCACTCTGGCAGTAGGAGCCAGAGTGACCGGGAAGCCTGCTCTGCCCCATTCTCCTTTCCCAGCCATTGTGCTCGGCTTCACTGCAACTGCAGGAAGCAGAATGTCCAGGCCCCAGGGCGTTCCACTTCCTGCAGTGCACACAAGCGAAGCACAACAGTCTGGGAGGTGGTGGCAGGGTGGAGTAGAGCAGGCTGCTATGTCACTTCAACTCCCTCGGCTGCACTGAATTTGGGGGAAGGGGCAACTCTTGCTGCTCCCACATGGGTAATCTCCCAGCTTGCGTTACTCAGTGGAGCGGCTTTGTCAAGAGGGAGGGGCAGGAAGACGCTTGAGGGAAGGGGTGAGCAGGACTGGGGAGGAGCAGAGGCAGGGCAGGAAGGGGCCTGTGGACTGTCAAGGTGATTGTCCTAAGCCCCAAAACTAGGGATGGGCCTGCACCTGATACCACTCTCCTTGAGGAGAGCTGTTGTGGATAAATGGAGACATGGGTTCCTCATTATTTTAATGTTAGCAAAAAATACAGTAGCAATGACTCAAAGATTAATATAAAATATATAATGTAAGGAAGACAGCAAAAAAAAAAACCCATAGCTATTTTTATGCCATAAAATTATGGCAAATTTGAATGGATGAGTCTGCCACATGCTCTAATACAACTACCGTACTTTAATTAATTGTAGCTATTAAAATTGACTTTGTGCTTGAATTTTCATTCAAAATTCAGGTGGACTTTTGTCTTAATGTAATGACCATTTGCCACAGAACATTGAATTGAAAACTTCTCCTAGCATTACAGAACATTTGCAGAACAATAGAAGTTATATTACATTGTCTGTGCACCCTGCAGACAGACAAAGTTTTGCTGAACCACAGATGACTTCTGGGGTCAAGTTCCCATTGTGCAAATTTAGTTTGTTGTTCATTTTAGCTTCTGGGGTGAACACACACTATTAAGATTTTTTAAAAATCCATGATTTTAGGGAAGGGCAGCTGGTTGGAACCTCATGGAAGCTCCTTTACAGGCTTTACTAATTGCAGCCACTCTGAACTTGTAACACCATTGTGTTAGGCAATGCTCAAAAGAAGCGCTATGAATATTCTAAAGGGGTATTTTGCAGTGAGGATGCATCTTTCAAAACTTCACAGGCAGCCATGGGAAAGGAAACCAAAAATAATCTTGTACTGACCCTTTGGCTCAAAGGACGCCAATTCACTTTGTAGTCTTCCCTCTGCCTCCCCTTTGTCTCCCCCCCTCCTCGTTTTTCTCCTCTCTACACTACACACCCCTGGCTCCTCCTGCATCATTATGAAATACATTATTCCTGTTGCTGACTTCGTTCAATCTCCACTGGAATACTGGCATCCAAAGGGAGATATGCATGTCAGATACCAAGCACATTTGTGCACAAGCATCAAAATGGATAATGGGGACTCTGCATGTAAGGCCATAGTTTAAGGTTTCATTTGAAGGTCAGCCATTACCTGCCCACTGGGATTTCTAGGGCCAGGAGTCCTGGTTAGACCGTTTGGGTTCTGTGTTCTGTTGAAACAAGGTGTTTCTTCTGTTACAGTGAGGAATACTGAAATCAGCTTGTGTATTTCCATGCCAATTCAAGGGACATCACTTAGCGATTTGTGTTCAGAAACGTTCTTTCTTATGCCACCAGTCACCATGACTCTGTTTTATTTATTAAAGGATAAGAAACCAAATGATGTCAATAGCTGCCATTTAGCGCAACCGACTGGCCAACCGCAGACATACCAGAATAAACGTGCCTCAATAAAGCCTCCACCACCACCACAAAGACGATCTTCAGCTGTGAGCTCTGTACCTCTTCTACCTGTCCAACCCAAACGTGAAAGCTTAGTTTTCTCATCAGATCCAGACACTTTTCCAGCACCTCCACCTGAAATGGCAGATGATTTGCCACCCCCACCACCTGACTTCGGTGAAGATCCTCCAGATTTTGTGCCCCCCCCACCACCCACCTGTAGCAGCAGCAATGAAGACCTGTTACCACCCCCTCCACCTCCTCCTCCTCAGGCTTCTGTCTGCACTAAGCCCCTACCTGTGACAAAGAAACCTGTGCCACTTCCACCAAAAAGGCAAGAGAACACTGAACGGATGGAAGAATCAAAGTCAATGGGGCTCCCTCCATCTGGAGGTGGAAGTGGACAGCC